AAACCTGTGAGTTCTTGATCCATTGCGTGTGTTTGTTGCAAAGCTTGTTGCTTTTTTAACTCTTGTTCCATACGCCTAGTGACCACGCGGGTTTGCCTTTGCTCCTTTGCTCCTTCTAGTTCTGAGAGAGGAAGTTGGTCCAGCCTTAATGATCCTTGGATATCTTGCTGTCTGTTCTATCTTTCTTGTTCTCTTTCTCTGGGTCCTGGAGGTGGGGGGGTGTCCAGCCTTCAATATGATATTATAAAAATCTTGAGCCTTCCATACTGAGTTAAGACGATATCTTTGCCCCTGGTAATTAACTGCTAAGCCAACTGGAGCTTCCCATCTGAACTGTAACTGATGGGTTTTGAGCTCATCCATTAAAAAGGCATAGTCTTTCCTTGATCTCAACATTTTGGGTGGTATTTCCTTCAAAACAGTCACCTCCTGACCTCCAATTTGCAACTTGGTTTTATAAGACTCTTGCAATATCAGATTCCTCATATCTCTCGTGGCAAAATGCATTACAATGTCCCTTGGGAGTTGTTTTTGTCTGGCAAGCCAGGAATTAACATGATATATCTTGTCAATTTGCTAGTCAAAATCCTCTCCTGGCTGTCCCATCAATTGATCAAAAGCTTCTGAGAAGATCTCCTTCAAATTTTCTTGGTTTTTCTCTTTAAGGCCTCTTATCCTTAAAGCAAATTCCATCTGTCTGTACTGCAACATTATCATTTCATTTTCTGCATCATCAACCTTGTGTTGGATCACATCCATTTTCATTACCAGGTTAATATTGGAATCACTAAGATCTTCCAACTTGTCCTCGAGTCCTGATACGTAGCCAGATAAGCATTTAAAAGCCTGTAAAGTATTGTCTCTAATTTCTTGATTACAAATCTGGACTGAACTCATAACCTCTTCTGACAATTCCTTAAAAGCAACAGAGATCTTTTCCTGTATTTTAATTTCTATCACAGCTGCATAATTTTTTAAAGCCTCAGTTAATTCTTTTTGGAGTATTTCTCGAGTCAAAGGTTCCCCAGCAGGAGTTGTGGGGGGGGGGGTTGGGAGGGGAGTAATGACTGTAATTTAGATGCCGGGGCAGGTGAACTACCAGCACTTTTTGAGGCGTTTGGTTTTTGCTTAGAGGCCATTTCTCATTTAATCTTGTCTTGCACCCAGTTACTAAATCCAGGCAAGCCATTTGTTCCAGTAATTACTATGTAGTCTACTAATAAATCACTACTGATTTAATGATCTTTAGATGGTCTTGAACTCTATAATAGTTTGAGCTCCGTGAAAATCTGTAACATCAAAGTAGAACCACACCTGCAAAGCTATTCTGCGCCATCTTTGTCTTTCTGCCACATAGTTTATCAGAAGGAATTTTTAGAAAAATGGAGTTAAAGTCTGTAATACATACAATTAGAAGTTCTCCGGTATCTGTCTGCCCGTGTTGGAATCAGGTATAAATCAATCGTTGAGCTGAGGGTGGATGTGTGCCTTCGTTCTGCAAAAAGGCAGAAAAAATCCCTGGCGCGGATAATTCACTGAGTTATAGGGCGGCTCACACCTTCCACACCCCAGATTTATGTTCTGGGGGAGGTTGAATGAAGCACTTCCCAAACACAGCTTCTCACCTCTCTTTATCTGCCCGAAGGAGAGTAATCAAACTGTCTAACAGCTGATGGATGCTGTTTAGACAGCTTAACGCAGCTGGAGCTAAAAAAAACCAGCCCCTTCAGACAACGCATCCAAACCAGAAGCCCCTAAGAAGCCTTTTCTGAGTCTGCAAAGGTAAATAGAACAGCAAGGGGAGAGGAACAGCTGTGCTGCACAATTTAGATTCACTAGAAAATAGAAAGACCACCCCGGATGCAGCCCCATCCATAGGATGCAGGCAGCATCTGAAACCACTTCCCTTCCAGTATGCAGAAAAAAACCTCCCTTCATGGAACCAGTCCCTGGTGCCCAAAAGGTTGAGGGCTGCTGTGCTAAATAATATTGCTTGATCAGCAACACCCAAAATTAGCCAATCTTGTCTGATCACACAAGAAAGGCAGAACTATAAGAGATAGATGATCTCTCAAGACTTATGCAATGTATTACATAAGTGCACTAAGGTGTCTATCCTCCCTGTCATTATATTTTTTTCTTTTATTCTTGTTCTTGTTTTTGTTTGACAAATTCTAATAAACAAAAATAAAGAAATGTAGAGCGTTATAGATAAGAACTTGTAGTGTCATTTGTATTTGGGAACTTACTAGTAACCACTGCACTTCATGAGACAGGCTATCACTTCTTGTCCAACCACAGCCCTTTCTATAATAATGCATAATGCCTCTGCAATGTGCAAGGCAGTGGTGGGTTTCAAAAATTTTTAGAACCTCGTCTGTAGGTGTGGCCTGCTTTGTGGGAGTGGCTTGCCTGCCATGTGACTGGATGGGAGTGGCTTGCCAGCCATGTGACTGGATGGGAGTGGTTTGCCAGCCATGTGACTGAGTGGGCGTGGCCAACTTGTAAAATGTGGTGAAACTCACTTAATAATGCTCTTGCTTAGCAACCAAAATGTTGGCTCAGAAACTCTGGCATTTGAAGCACGCAAGTCTTAAAGCTGTCAAGTTACAAGACCCTTGTACCCCTAACCCTTTAGAAAAAAACCCCCAGGGGTGTTCAAACCTGACAGCTTTAAGACTTGTGGACTTCAACTCCCAGAATTCCTCTCTCGCTCTTCATCTTGATGATGTGCGAACGGGTGGGGGGAGGGAGCTGGAACTGGTTCTAAACGGCACTGTAGATTTGTGGAACCTCTTCTATAGAAGAGGTTAGAACTGGCAGGAACCCACCCCTGGTGCAAGGTGACCAAGGTTTGATGGAAGAATGGCCTCAGCAAAACCTGTACTAGGTGGGTTTTATTTCTTTACTTTGATTATGGCACTGAATTATCTTATTATATGTTCCTATTATAAATTAGTATATGTGATAACTAACCAACTAACCAACCAAGGCTTTTATGACAGAATATTTAAGCCTTCTACCCTTATAATCCATGATCTCAGGCAGACTATAGGAATTTCAATTCTTCACTCCCAAGTTCTTGCAGACAACTAATGTTGTTTTGGGAACACACATTATTTCTCTATAGAACAATAACGTAGGATTAAAATAATCTAAAGATATCAGTTTTGATAAATAATTAGGAGCTTTGATGTTGTTATTGCATATGACCACACAAAATATGCTCCTATGTCACTTTTTTGAGCAATCCAAATTCCTCCTATTGTGTCTTAATGTCAACGTTAAACAGTAAACTGATTTTGTTACCATATGGTGTAATAGCATATGGGAATAACCTGGACAGACAGGGGAACACATATGCTCCGAACCATGTGTACACATGATACAACTGCCAACCAAATTTTGGCTGTGGCATTGTTTTTAGAGGGATAGGGGTAAATTACTATATTTGATGATTTAGAACATATATAAATAACATGTATAGCATTCCATAATATGTTTTTTACCCAAGTGTGGAGCTGAAAAGGTAACTTTTTCTTAAGAGTGCTAAGGGAATGAGTAAGGAGTAAGAGAAAGGAACATCCCTTTGGGCTGTTTAATATATTTGTAGAAAATATATTTAAGGAATTTTGTGAAGATTTATCATGTATACTAAAATAATGGAAGATTATGAGTAGTTTAATCACTAGACACCATTGAGGTAAACAGACAAAATTCACAACAATACAGAGATCACCCTACCAGATATGACAAAATCAGCTGGCCAGCGAGAGGTGCATGCGCGGTGAAGTTCAGCTGGGGTGACAGCTTGCGTGCTGGCAGAGAGACTTTTGCCTGCCATAGGTTCACCATCACAGTCCTAGAGCATGACAGTATTGAACCTGTTTTGACTGCTTTTGAAATAAATAAAAATCTAATTTAGATTTTTATGTGTGTTGAGTTTTAAAATCAGCTGTGTGGGCAGATGAACTGACAGTAGATGCACAAAATTAAAAAGCAATAAATATATAAAACCAAATAATTTTATATAAGAAAAGAACAGATATGCCCTAAGGCAGCTGTTTTGAACATAGAACCTGCCAAACAGCCTTTACTTCCTGCTGGCATTTTTTTTTAAAAGTCAGCATGCCCCAAGAGACACACTGTTGAATGTCTCCATGCTCTACTACCCAACAAATAGCTAATGAGTATATCTTTCCAGTCAACCATGATTAATAATTATTAATTCATTCACGTTGTTATACTTGATCTGCAAATTGTGTCAGTTTTCCCTTTACCAGCATTATTTGTGTAATGCCATGTCGGAATGACCTTGGAAGATAGAGGACCACAAATACTCTGGCAGGTATGAACGTGATGTACCTTTCCAAGCAGAACTGGCTCTTCAGCTTAGAAACGGAGATAAGCACCGCCCTCCAGAGTCAGGAACGACTAGCAGATATGTGCAAGGAAAATCTTTACCTTTACAGAAATACAAGAACATTGAAAAAGCTGTGTAATAAGGTGACTTCAGGACATTACATCACTGACTGCCAGAGGCTATATAAGATAAGATGAGGTAAGGAAAAGGAAGGGAAGGCAAGAAAAGAACTGCAATTAGTATGTTCTTAACATTGTAATTAAAACTTTATCTTCGACATAGAATGTTTACATTCCAAGAAGAACAGCAAATTTATTCTTTGCAATGGAAACTTTTGTGGATGAAAATTGAGTTTATGGAACTAATGAATTAATTAAGGAAACAAATCTAATAATATATACATCATTTTTCTTTAAGTTAGCAGGATTCATGATTTTTTTAAAAACTGAATTAACACAATATTGACCATAAATGTAGGAAGTATTGACAATTGTTCTATTATTACATCAACAGCTGAAGCAATGGAGCCAGAGGATGAGTTCCTGAATCTATTTTTAAAGAACTGAATTAATGCAATATTGACCATAATGTAGGAAGTATTCTTAATTGTTCTATTATTGCATCTACAGCTGAAGCAATGGAGCCAGAGAAAAAGTTCCCGTTTAAATGCAAAGAAATCCATTTCCAAACTGACTTCTCCTCACCTGAAAATTTAGAGTCACTGGACAGTTTTGAAACCCGAGATGATGATATATTCCTAATTACATATCCTAAATCTGGTAAGTTCAAAGATGTCTTCCAAAAAAGAATTAATCTTTTATCCAATACTGTTATTCAGTTCCTCGGTATATTGGTTGCTGTAACTCTGTTGTGCTATAGCTAGATTTTAACATTTACTTTTTAAAAAAAGCTGGAAATGTAGGAAAGCATATTATACTTTTGCTGGATAGATGACCTTGGCAAGTCACACTGTCTCAGCCCAATCTGTATCACAGGGTTGTTGTGAAGAAAATAGGAGGAAGAAGGAATATTGGTATGTTTGCCACCTGGAGTTAGTTCTAAAGATATAAAGGCAGGATATAAATAATTGGTTAAATAAATACCAATTCTTTTTTCATCCATCCATCAGCTTAATCTATCAATTTTAGAAGACTTAATTGTGTTTACACATCTCTGAAACGTTTACTATTCTTCCTGATAGGAAGATTGGCCTTGCATAAGTTCAACATTCTCCAAATAATAATGGCTATGGGTGAATTAATTTAATTATTCCTTATTTACAGGCACTATATGGACTCAGAATATTATCAGCTTGATTCTTTATGAAGGTCATCGAGATGAAACTGAAAATATTACCCTGATTGACAGAGCTCCATGGCTGGAATATAATATTTTCAGTGTAGATTTTCCCAGTCGCCCATCACCTCGTGTATTTACTTCCCATCTGCCTTACAATTTGGTACCCGAAGGATTACAAAACAGAAGAACAAAAGTAGGACATATTTTGCTAACTTGTGAGGTGGAGTGGTGAGCTGCCTGCCTTCTGTTCTTTTCGCTCTGTATCTGATTGTTTCATTGATATATAGGCAATGACAAACAAACAGATGTTAAATTGCTCCAACGTGTTTGGTGGATGCTAACAAATTTTGAAGTTTGAGTGGGAAACCACACAAACAAAACAGTGTTAAAGCCAGAATGTCATGCCCAGCAGAAATAGGCCAAGAACCAGAGGTTGATTGCAAATGCCAGTGCTACCGGTTCACTTATGTTCGCTCATGCACAGGAGAGCCTCCCGCTGCTGCCACTACCAGTTTGCCATATCCAGGCCAAACTGGGAGCTACCCATCTCTGCTAAGAACCCACCTGTAGATCCATATATAGCGAGCTTTAATCCTTAATCTTACTTTTCCCAAAATGACACTTTCGGATGGATTGTATGGCTGTTGCATGGCTGCTTGCTATCTTAAAATATTGAGAGGTTGTTAATTTGAGGGATGGTATTTTTAGTCCTCCACTCCCTTCCCACAATTTCTACTCAGTCATTCATGCCCCAGTCACCAGAAGTTTCAGCTGCTTTTGCAGCAGCATGAGCACTTACGTGATCTCCAAGAATTGCATACATTACACCTCTACTTTGGAAACTGCATTGGCTACCAATTGGGTTCAGGATCCAATTCGAGATGCTGGTTTTTAAACTTCTTCATGTGTTGCAAACAGGTTATTTAAAAGGGTTCTCATCAGCTAGAGAGATTTTTCAGTGGGCCCCTAGGATGAAAACCTTCGCTGATGTGGAAACTCATTCCCCCAAGTCATGGTTGGCCCCAATCCTGGTGGTCTGCTGGAAGGCTCTCAAACATGGTTTTGCTAATGAGCTTTGGGATCCTGTGATAGAATGGAGCCTGTTAGATGAATGCATGAGAGTTATTGGTGCCCTCTCTGTATGCTTTACTGCCAATCTGTCTTTTTTCTTGTTTTTGACCAGGTATTATCATCTTTCTCCTACAGATTATTTATGTACTTCGAAATCCAAAGGATGTCTTGGTTTCCAGCTATCATTTTTTTCAAAGGCCAGTCGGAATACAATCCATAAAGGATTTTGATACATTCTTTGAGAACTTTTTGGTTGGCAAAGGTAAGAAGAGCTTGATGATGATGTTTTTTGGGCAGTTTTTGTCTTGGATAAGAAATAATGAATATATTTCAATCCACTCCCCACAAAGAGCAAACAATCCACCCTCTCTCCAAAAATAAGTTAAAATAATTCTTTTTTAAAAACTTTTTTAGTAATTCATTTAAACATTACACAATGTAAAACGGACAGGAGGTAGAGTAGAATGAATGAAGAGATCCTAGAACCATGGATAATGTTAAAGTGGATGAGAGAAGCAAGAGAAAATAGCTTATTTCAATTTATTTAGTTAGTGTATGGCATATCATATACAGACTTACAATATATATTAACATTTCACCTAGATTATTAAAACATAATACAATATAAATATTAAAAGATCTGTATTCAAATAGCATTGTCCAGGATACCTAAGTACTGAAGTTCAGCATTGTTTATATGAAAAAAAAAATACTGCACCAGTATATGCCCTCAGCTTATAGCGGACACAATGTGATTTACAGTTTGATGTAGACCCTGAGGTCACATTAAGGGGAGAATATTATAAAGTGTCCTGGCAGACACCATGTGAAATGTGACTCCTATTCAGGATTATTGATTGCTGGTGTGGTAGTTGAAAGCCTGGCACCCTATTTCTGGCATCATTTATGTGTCTTCCTTTGCCTGGACATTCAGCGACCCATTTGGCTTTCCATTGGTAAAGCTTATATCAAACTGATAGAGTTTCGTTTAAAATCAGGATAAGATTGGGAATGGATGGACAGAATCTAAAATTATGGATAAATATCAATATTCATTTGAAAGACAGATAGTAACTCTGTTTGGCTTACGAACCAAATCTTTGTAAAATGAAATCACATAGGGAGCATTTAAAGGTTGGAAATTGAAAAAGAGCAAACTGGAGTAAGTCTTATACGTGCAAAAATGTAAAAAAATCAAACCAAATTGCCCCAAACATCAATTAAGAAAAAGCAAAGAAATGAAACAATATAGCAGCAAAGAAATGAAACAATATAGCAGCATCTTGACAAAAATTCTCCTTTGACAAGTTCAAGTATGCAACCACATTAGTTATGGCTCTTGTTCCTTTTCTCTCCTCTCCACATCCAGGGATATTAGGATAGCCCCTCAGTTGAGTTATCATGCTTCGATCTTTAGGTCCAACCAGGATCATAAAGATAAATGAAGGAAATTCAAGCATCAAGAATGTGTCCCTGAGACAGATGGTTAGGTGGATCATTGCAGCACCAAGCTAAACAACTGAAGCCTCTTGTTAAGCTATTATGCTTTGATCTTTAGGCCCACCAGGAACATAAAGATAAGTGGAGGACATTCAAGCATTAATTCTCATGTTTATGATAAATTCATTTCTCTCCTATCAGTGTTCGGTGGTTCGTGGCTAGACCATGTAAAAGGCTGGTATGCTCATAAGGATGATTTCAATATTCTTTTCCTTTCTTATGAAGAAATGAAAAAGGTAAGATGTGTCTGTGCTGTGTAGTGCAATATGAACAATCATCAAGCACAAAAAGCTTTAGAATAATAGAGCTGGAAGGAACTTTGGAGATCTTCTGGTTCAACCCCCTGCTCAGGCAGGAAACCCTATACCACTTCAGAAAATGGTTGTCCAATCTCTTCTTTAAAACTTCCAGTGATCTTCGCTTCTCTTCTTGATTAGTTTCCATCCATTGTTTCTTGTCCTGCCTTCAGGTGCTTTGGAGAATAGATTGACCCCTCCTCTTCTTTGTGGCAACCCCTTAAATATTGGAACACTGTTATGACGTTATCTCTAGTCCTTCTTTGCATTAAACTAGCCATACCCAATTCCAGTAACCATTCTTAATGTTTTAGCCTCTAGTCCCCTAAACATCTTTGTTGCTCTTCTCTGCATTCTTTCTAGACTAGTCTCAATATCTTTTTACATTATGGCGACCAAAACTAGATGTAGTATTCTAAGTATGATCTTAACAAGACATTATAAAGTGCTATTAACATTTCATGTGATCTTGATTGTATCCCTATGTTAATATAGCCTAGGACTGGGTTGGCTATTTTGGCAGCTGCAGCACACTTTTGGCTCATATTTAAGTGACTGTCCTAATTGTGAGAAATCCCTCACAATTGAGCCAGGTACCATCTATACTGCATCTGTGTATTTGGTTTATCTTGACTAAATGTAGGATCATATTTTTTTCACCACTGAATTTAATTTTGTTAGATAGCAACCAATGTTCAAGTCTGTCCAAGATCCTTCTGTATCTTAAACCTACTTTCTGGAATGTTGGCTACTCCTGCCATCTTGGTATCATCTTCAGATTTGATGAGTTCCCCATCTATTCCCCCATCTAAATCATTGATGAAGATACTGAAGAATACTGGGCTTAAGAAAAGAGCCTTGGGGTACCCCACTGCATATTTCTCTCTATGTAGAGGCAGTTCCATTGAGGACTACATGTTGAATGCAGTTGGTCAGTCAGTTACAAATTCATGTGATGATGATGCTGTCTAACCCATATTTTTCTATCTTATCAAGTAGTAGGTTGTGGTCTACTTTATCAAATGCTTCACTGAAGTCCAAATAAACTATATACACAGCATTTCTCTGGTCCACTAATGCCACTTTGTCAAAGAATACAATAAGATTTATCTATTTTTGATATACCATATTTTTTGGAGTATAAGACACACCAAGATTTTGATGAGGCAAATTTAAAAAAAAAAGTTTTTGCACTCTGCTGACTTCCCAAAAAATTAATAAAAGATTAATAAAAGATACATTTGTGACCATTTTGCTTGTCATGCTAGAATTCACAGGATGCATATCTTGTAAAGAAGCTCAGCAAAACAAAGTTCATTTAATTTTGATAGACTTGGTAGATAAGGGAAATCCACAATGCACCTTAATCAGCAAAATCTTAGCCAAAGTTTTTCATAATATTCTCCTGTATTGGCTCAAAAGAGATTCATTCAACTCAATTGAATTTTCAAGAGAGGCCAAAGAATTAATTAAGCCTGGCTTGGGAACTGGACAGCTTCTAATGCAGTTAAAAGTACTAACAATGTAAGAGTCTGAATCTTGGCACATAAATATATTTTAGACCAAAAATGTTTCTCAACAACCTGCCTCTTGAAAGCATTTAGCAGGAAACTTAAGGCAGTATTTCTTTAATTTGTTGATATTGCTTTTTATGTCCATGTCTGACTTTTGTTTAAAAAATAACAATTACTAAATATCAGGGTATTTTTTATCAGGGTATTTATATATCAGGAAAATAAAGAATTAAAGTTTAATATGCAAGATATATATAAGGAAGCAATAATCTTGAGAATCCCATTAATATATCAACACAGTGTTCCATCTTTTCTCCTTGTTATGGATGTACTAATATAAAGCTTTATCAAATTGCAGGACCTGAGAGGTTTTGTACTGAAAATATGCAACTTCCTAGAAAGAGAACTAACTGAAAAGGAGGTGGATGAGGTGGTGTATAAAGCGACATTTGATAACATGAAGGTGGATTCTAGAGCAAACTACACATTCATGGCTCGTGATATTCCAGGTTTCAGCAAAGGAGACTTCCTTCGCAAAGGTAGAGCAGTAATAATTCATACTCTGGGGCTTTTGGAATGTGCCAGGCTTCATCTGAAACCAGGGTTGTCACCTTCATCTGAAAGGCACTTTCTAAAGTGGTATGGATATGTCCCAACCAGTGACGTGTGGTCAGCTTTACCCCCGGTGAGGCTGTTTTTAGACTTGTGGACTTCAACTCCCAGAATTCCACAGCCAGGCATACTAAGTTCCGATTTAAAGTGACAGCATTTTTCCCCCTTGCAAAATAAGTTTTCCCATTCTTTTTCTTCTCCCTCCCCCTCCTTCCTCCCTCTCTCCTTCCCTCCCCCTCTCTCAAACAGACACACGGAGACAGAGAACTTCGATCCTTCTCTCATTCACTCACTCTCAAACACAAACACAGAAGTTGGATTGGATATATTTTCCAAAGGCTTGAAAGCAGCTCCTCTGCCATACCCCCCCTTTCCCTGCTGCCTTCCGATCAAACTTTTTGAATTCCTCCCCCCTCCCTACACACGGACCTTTTCCAGCTGTTTCAGAGACGATTTCAACTCTGCTTCTCCCTGCCCTACCCTGCCCTCTTGAAAAGCCAGAGCTCTGAAGTCAGACTGAGCTAGTCGCTCCTAGAAAACTCGAAAAAGCCTCTAAAAATGCCCTCTACAGGAGGCGAGAGAATACGTGCCTCATTTGAATAAGAAATTCTTCCCTTGTTAACCCTTGCTTAACTCTTAAAAGGCGAAAAAATCCTTATGCAAAAGAGGCCCCTAGTTCTCTGGCCTCCTCCTAGTTAATACTGAGAGCAGACACCAAGCCACTGTGACTTGAAATCTGGTAGCAACTACCCTGGCTTTAATTATTTTAAGAAAATTATTTAAAATCCTTTCCTTTCCCTGAGGAGACTGGTGAGGCCCCGCCTCCCTTGCCTCTAGTGACTGCATGTCCCTGGTCCCAACAGCCTCTCTTTCTGGGGTCTCTCCATGATGTTGTGCTTGCCTCATCAGCAGCCTACATTTGAGGCAGCCATAAGCTTTTCTTAGTTGTGCCAATGTTGGTGTTCTCCTGTTCACCCAAACAAATTTCGGGTGTGGATATAATCCGATCTGTTTCAATGATATCTGTTGGTTGCACAGTCTAATGATCCTTTGGGAGTGGGTTGTTTTAGCTCCTACTAACCACTTTAGGATGGTGGAGTCACAACCTCTTCACTCTCTACCTTTGGTAATCTCCCCCACCAGGAATGCAATGAGTCACATGGTGAGGATGCTGGGTTGAAAGTAAGCAAACCCATGTTTGAAATCCGAGTGCTGCTGCATGGTGGGGTGAGCTCCTGTCATTCTCTCTAGCACCTTGTTGGGAACATGAAAGGAGCAACACTCCTGGGGCATCTTTCTGGAAACAGTGATGTCACTGGCTAATGATTTCAAACTGGAAAGGCTAATCCACTTATTTTCAACCTGAGAAAAGTTCTCTGTGACATATGAGTGCACTGTTCTCCAGCCTTAGAACTGTCTCCTCTAAACCTGCAGGGACCTATCCAATGATCAAAAAGCCACCAATCGTTTCTCTTAAGCATTGGTATAATGGGATGAACTCAAGATCATTTAGAACTTCACTGGGAGACCACTGATTCCATGACTTCCCAGTAACAGATACTTATGGCAGGAGAATCACTCACCACCTTCTAGATAGGGAGAACTTTGCCCTTTTATCAAGTCCTCCTTCTGTAATCCAGCTCAAGTTAAGATAGTAAGAAACAAGTTCCTGCCCAAAAACTATACATGCAGATTTCTAAGAACTGCTTGATGGATGGGGGGTAGCTAAGCACTCCTTTGATAACTGAGGAACGAACAATGCTCCAAGTTAGTCAGGTTTTTCAAACTATTACCCTCTTTCTCTGACTCAGGGAAGCCTACAGTAGGCAAGATAACTGAAGAGTGTAAACCACCACTGGAAACTTTTGATCTTCATCCCTACAGTACCCAGCTGAAGTCCTGAAATGTTTTCTATACACTAATGTGACAAAGAAAGCACACACTCTTTGAGTTCTATGGTTTTATGTATCAAGACATAGTAAAAAATCATCTGGTCCTTAGCAGTTCTTCAAAGTAGGTAAATACATTCTCAGATGAACAACAACACATGATGTATTACACCATGTCATCATTTATTTTCAAAAAGAAAGCCAAAATGGAGAAGCCATGTGTGAAAAATTAAGAACATCCTTACTTCTTCCATAGGTATGAAGAGGCTAAGTAACAGTTAAGTGCTGCAAATCAAGTGTCCTTAATCAATTGATCATCAGCAAGTGTAACTACCTCTATAAAACCTGAAGTTTTAGGAGTTTGCTAGTCTCCAGCATTGAGGTATGTCTTAACACAATCTCAAAGCGGAAAGGCAGCGGTAATAATCTTAGAGAACCAATTGTTGCTGACTATCAGTCTGGGAAGCATTATAATGTCATTTCTAAACAATTTGAAGCACATGAGTCTACGGTGGGGAAGATTACTCATGGGTAGAAAACTTTCGAGACATTTGCCAATCTCCCTAAGGGTGAAGATCCCAACAAATTTATCCAAAGGATGGACCATGCAATGCTCAGACAAATTGCAAAAAATCCAAGAGTTACATCTCAGATCCTTTAGGCCTCAGCTAGCATGTTAAAGTTTATGACAGTACAACTGGAAAAAAGACTGAACAAGGATGGTTTGTTTGGCAAGGTTGCCAGGAGAAGGCTTCTTCTTTTTAAAAACAGCATTGCAGCACAGCTTTGGTTTCCAAAGTTGCAGCTGAACAAATCACAAGACTTCTGGAACACTGTCCTTTGGACAAAAGAGACCAAAGTTGAAATGTTTGGCCACAATATGCAGTGTCACATTTGGCAAAAACCAAACACTGCCAATCACCACAAACATCTAATACTAAACAACAAGCATGGTGGTGGAGGGAGGATGATTTGGTCTTGTTTTGCAGTCACAGAATCTGGACACCTTGCAGTCACTTAGTTGACCATGAACTCCTCTGTATACCAGAGCATTCTGAAGTCACATGTGAAGCCAGCGGTCTGACAGCTAAAGATTGGCCAAGATTGGGTCATGCAACAGGACAATGACCCTAAGCACACCAGCAAAAATACCACAGAATGGCTGAAAAGAAAAAAAATAAATAAAGGTATTGCAATGGCCAAAGTCCAGATCTCAACCCGATTGAAATGCTACGGTGGGACCTCAAGTGAACTGTACATAAACAAATGCTCACAAACTTCAATTATGTGATGTTATAAAGTAATGTTGTAAAGATTAGTGGGCCAAATTCTTCCAAAATTGAATGAAAATTCTTCCAAAATTATTGAATCTTAAGTTTTACACACAGCTGCTCCATTTTAGTTTACTTTTTCAAAAATAAATCATGACATAGTGTAATGTCATGTTGTTCATCTGAGGTTGTATTTACTTTAACTGCAAAGGAGCAGATTTTTACTATGTTCTCATACATAAAACCATGGAACTCAAGTAGGGTATACTTCCTGTTTACATGACTGTATATACATTCAAACACAAACTTAGTCACAGAAAAATGTGTAAGAATGTCCATTTTGGTGATATGATGACATAAATAGCCTCTAGATAAAATGAATACAAAAACTGTTGACATTTTTAACCATTGTTTCTCAGGCACTGTTGGGGACTGGAAGAATCTCATGACTGTTGCCCAGAGTGAAAGGTTTGACCGTGTCTTTAAGAAGAAGATGGAAAAGCTGCCCTTCAAGTTCTGCTGGGATATTCAGGAGGAGCCTGAGCCTATTTCCAGATCACTGGAGGAAAATAATNGGAAAATCTTTTTCTTGAAGTAAAAATAATAAGAACGGCAAAAAAGGGGAGAGAAATAACTAATAACTGAAACGCTGTTTTACGACTTCCAGAATCAGCTGCCTGAGACAGCAGCCTTGCTTCTCCTGGTGACAGCTTCGGCTTCGCTAAGGGACACAGATTAATATTTATCTGGAACAGCGAACAATGGAAGTGCCAGTTTTCAGCTGCTGTCAGTTATTCTGATATGGCTTAGCTCTGAGGAGAGGAAAAAAAGGGAGAGCATTTATTAGGCTTTTATTGTCAGGAAAAATTACCATAGGAAATTTAAGTCATTTTTCTTAGAACTTGGGAACAGGCAATATGGACATACGTTGATGTGGACATATTAGGTTGTTCCTCTAGAAAAAATAATGGCACAAAACAAGGAGACGATGAAAGGTTCGCGCAAGGGCATCAATAGAATTAGGATGAAAATTAAGCAGGGAACTCTGCCAGTTCCTTGAAAGGAAAAAAAAAACATTTCAAAGAGACAAACTATCTGCTGCTGTGTTAGCTTGACAAGAATATATTATGGGCTCTGATAAAGAAGCTAGGGAGTAGAAAGGGAAAGAAAAGATATAGAAAGGCACTGGTTTTGATTAACTGTCTGGGAGGACCAATGCTGAAATGCAGAGAGCAACACATGTGGATGAAGATTTATCAGAAATCTCCAGACTTAGTTCAGAGGGGTGTGTGTGTGTGTGTATTTATATGTGTGTTTGTGTGTGTATGTTTGTTCTTGAGTCTGGTATCTTTTATCCAGTTCTGGCATGCAATAGCTATTAAAATCAACAAAATATGTGGTCAGCATTGGATGCTGTACTATAATATCAGAATGTTAGCAGTACCGGGTCAGGGGTGGGTTTCAACCGGTTCGCGGCGGTCCCCGCGAACCGGTTGGTCGGCGAACCCGGAAGTAAGTAACTTCCAGCAACGGTGAAGGGCCTGCCCGCCTGCCCGCGCTCCTTACCTGGTTTTGACGAGTTCTGCGCTTCCACGCATGCGCAGGACACATACACCACCTGCACGATCCTCCAGGAGCAGCTGGAGCATCGCACAGAC